TGTTGTTCAGCATCTTAGCTGTGGAGGGCAGTGTCACTGGCCCTCATATGTGGGATCCGAACCGGGGCCCTCTGGCATCCCAAGCGAGTTCTTAACCATTGCGCCACTCGGCCGGCCCAAGGATGTTTTTTTAAAGTGAAAATATATCTTTCTCCAACTCTTGAAAACACACAGACATTTATATGCGCACACACATACATTTCCTCTTGGTGAGGGTCTCTTTCAACTCAACTCCTTGAAGGCTTCTCTTTGATGTTGCACATGTGCTTTAGTCTGTAAAGGATGCTTGTGCCCACTGCACTCCCCTGAGTAGCTCCCACTAGGCGTCTCCTCATCAGCTAAGGGCACAGAGTCCTGCAGTACAATCTACTGAGTCACCGAAAGTGTTGTTGTGACCACAGTTGCATCTATCACCAAACCAGTCTTCTAAGGCCTAAATTCTAAGAGTTTTAGTATAAAATTATACTAATATCAGAATTATAAGAATGTAAAAATGATGGGTGTATACCAATATGGACTCCAGAGCAAAGGCAAATGCAGTTTGATTGATGGGATTATGCGATATGTTTTTCTCTTTCGTTTGTTTTGTTTTTATGAAATTCCATTTAAGGTAGCCACAATGTTACTTATGAAATAAGAAAACACAGAGCAAAGAAAAATTTCAATGAACTGACATTTAAAAATCAATGATATTTAGCAGAAAATAACCCTTACAAAACTCTAAAAAAAATACGAAAATACTTAATTATTAACGAGTATTCATGAGATTACTATTTTATAAACTAAAGAGTTTTATTAATTACAGTTTAAAAAAATCTCTCATGAACATCTGCGTTTCTGCTCGTGGGCCACACAACCTGCTCCTTAGCTGACTTCTTTTTCCTTTCCTTCCGTGTTTATGACAGATGGCCACTCAACAGAGAAACACTGACACAACTGGGCTATTTAGAGGAAACACTGATGATCATTTTCATGAGTTATGTCTGTCCCACCAGACAGACTCAATTAGAACTTTCCAGAACAGCGCAGATGGAAAGTTCTCAGGGCATAAGTTCACCCACTTGTTATTCCAAATAGCCAGGCAACTAACTCATTGACCAATTAAGCAGCAGGCCTTGAGTTTTCTAAGAGTTCTCTTGTTTTAAAAGATGTCTTCTTCTCACAAAAGAGGTTTAGAGAAGTGTGATATGTCAGCCCCCTTAGGCCCCCGTACTTCCTGTTCCCAAAAGGGCACTCTACATAGAATGAGCAGAGCTGGGTTCGCCTCTAGCTCAGCCATTGAGTCACCAGTGACCTTGGGCAAATCACTTAATTTCTCAGAGATCCAAATATGCCAACTGCCCAACTGACCTCACCCATATCATGTATACAAAATATGATTTACCATAATTTCATTCTTCCCTGAAACACAAGCTGAGCACCTGCAAGGTGCCAGATACTCTGCTAGGTGTTTAGCACACAAAAGACACAGAACCTACTCTTAAGAATTCAGTAGAGAAAACAGACACACACACACATA